TCCGGAACACTTTAACTACTAGAAAACATCTCCATTATTTCACATTTGTCTTCACATAAATGTGGAAAATAATTCAGAGATAAGTTACAGGAATCAATATGTTATCTAGGAAACACATTTGCTTCAGGTCTGCGAGAGGTAAATTTTCGCCATGGATTTCATAAAATGTACAATAAATCTCAGGAGAAAAAGTTTTAAACGAAATTACTCATACTCATCTAGAGTAACGACACTTGTCGAGCATCAATAGTAGCCACTCCACACATAAAATTTGAAAAATAAAAATTTAAGGCTTTCCACTTGCTTCCAGCTTGCAAACATAGAACTTACGTCATCTACTTGTAAGAATTTTTTCACCCTTCTTTTATATTTAAAAAATAATCTGAAAGCATCTTATTAATATTTGCATTCCAATAATGTAGCATAAACCAATCAATAATGATTGGGTGAATTTCATGAGAAAGAGCAATTTCTTAATTTACTTAACTCTTATAATTTAGATATTACAGTGAATGTATTGACAAACAAGACATTTAAATAAAAAAAAATAATGGATCAAATCATAAATAATCAGTACTTTGTTTTGGACATTTCTGATCTCAAACATGTTCAGGGGGTAGAATAATTACTGTCTATTACTAAGTCAAGTATCTGATCACTATGGAAATTGTGCATTTTTTAAGAGGCTACTCCTGAAACAAAATCTGGCGTTAGAAATAAATTAATAAAAAATGGAACAAATAGTTATTTTAAAGTCAGGGATCTATGTATTCAGAAAGAGGTATGCTAATTGCCTATGGAGTTTCATGTAACAGATGTAGTATTGAATCCAATAGAGATATTTTTACCCTATATATTTAAGTAAATTGAAAATATTGTAATTGTAAATAATTATTAAGTTGTTGAAATAAGAAATAACATTTAATTTTATTTGCAAATAATTGACTAAGGAATTTTGCTGCCAATTTGGCCAACTCAAAAAATTACCATTTCATTTTCAAATTATAGTAGAAAAGAGTTGAAGAATCTTATTGTATTGTGTAACATTAGATAATTAGTAATTAATATGTATTGAAAATTAATATTTAAATAATTTATTATTATTATTATTATTATTATTATTATTATTATTATTATTATTATTATAAAAGGAAAGTTAAAAACTTTCAAGAACCCATCAAGAGGAAAACTTAAATCAGGACACAATTTATCAAGACAAAGGAATGCTAAATAATGGCTTTGAGACATTAGCACTAAGAAACTATTACAAGTCTGGAGGCAATGTAAACAAAATTTTTCGTATCATTGCTGGGAGTTACAGGAAGAAATAAACTAAGTAGTAGAATTATAAAAAAAATTAAAAACAGGCAGACATAATAAAGGAATAAATAGAATATCAAATAAACCAAAAACAGTCTACAAAAATGAAAATACACTTTTCAAAATAACAAAAATAAAAGTCCAAAAGAGTCAAGCTGTATGAGAAGGACATTAACACAATGGCACTAAGAAGAACAGTAATGACTACTTTATGTGCATCTACTGTTAATACCCCTTAATGATAGGATTGAAAATTATAAAACTGAACAGTTTAAGATAGCATCTAAACATCTTCACTTAAAATGAGGAAATCAATTTAATTGAGGAAAATACTAAAATATATCTTTACACAAAAAGGAGAGTTTTATACATCAAAAATATTTACTCAAATGTTCAAAATGTAGGGTTCAAGTGAAGATTTACTACATCTATAATAGAGGAAGAATTCAATTTGGAGCTATATCTGCAAATATGTATTATATATTATTTTTTTATGTTTAATATTACTTTTATAGTATTAATAATAAAAAAAACATCATATAGCAATTATAATTTCACAAAGTAATTTGGTTAACAGAATAACATTGTAGTGATACTGTGTATTACCATGTTATAGATAATGGTTCAAAAATACAAATTTTATGTGCAAGTTCTACTCTGAAGGTTCCTTCCCTGAAGTTACTTTAATTTCAAAGTAATTTCAACACTTCACCCCCATCCACCATGAAAGACCTTTCAAAACCAGAACATTACTAATTTTGTGATAGGGTACAGAAACTGCGTAGGTCCTTATAATGAATAAAATACAAATATTTATCACACAATGTATTTGACATCAAATGACATAAAATTTGACATAAAATGTTCACAATTTCATGAAATAAAAATTGATTCTTTAAAGTGATTTACCTTCTCTGCATTTCGGAAATGTTCAAAATTTATTTCGTGCAATATTTTTCAATCGTTCAAGTTGTCAGTTCCTATTTATGACTATGTTCCATGCTTCCAGTGCCTGCACTATTGATGTACAAATTTCAATGCATGATATGTACATATTTTTCATTAAAGTTGCATGTCCCTCACAAGGAAATAGAGACTAATAGGACATGAGTATTATCAAGTAATATTGAAGGCTTCAATTGATTTGCATGGAACAACAAAATACTAAATCATTTCCCAAAATTACCAAACCAAAATGTTTAACTCAATGCGCAGTAATAATTACTCAATGCACATTACGCAATGATCACTCACGATGAGCAACAGAGAAGAAAGATGAACATGTACAAAATTTAAGTATACATAATGAACATGTACATAATTAAATTTATCAAAACCAACAATGTCCAATTAATTTTATAAACGCATTTGGAAGTAAAAATGTTTATTTAATAACACATTTATACAGTGCTTTTAAAAGCAATATAAATAACTTGGGCTTATTTTTAAAATTTTTGTCTCCTTGCAAATGGTTCTATGGGTGCATGTGTAATTTGGCCAAGATACAGAACAATTAAGAAATCAGTAGAAATAATACTGTCCAAAAAAATCTTTACTTAAATTTTTCAAAGTTAAAGTAGCAACTATTCTAGCACCTCATTTGATTTATTATAAATGATTATTATATTGACTATAATATTTTTAGACATTTTCTAATTTTGAAAAGAACTTCAACATTTCAGATGGCTTAGACCAACTATACTGAATCTGTTACTTCAAAGTTGGAAGTTTCTTGAAATCTATTCTAGTCTTTTCAATATTATCTAATACCAATTAAACTAATCATCAATTAACACGACAATCATTCTCAAATGAAAAATATTATCTCAATATACCATTCTTTACTTTATTAAAAAAAAAAAAAAAAAAAAAAAAATTAAAAAATTGCAGACAGGAAACTAGATAAATTCTTTCCAAGAAATAGAAGTGCTATTCTTTGCTCATCATGACAAACATTACAGAAAATAGATGTAAAGCTCTATTTCTAAGAATCTACTTTGAAATGTACATGTAAAATCAACACATAAATAATAACTATATGATCAAGCATTCAAGTCAATATATGTTTCTGAATATTGAAGAGAGCCGTCTTCAGATGGCAAGCCATTGAGAATGCTCCAAATCTGTATAAAAGAAGATCAAAATAATGTGGAAAATAAATACGAAGGCATAAACATATCCATCATTCAATGCATTTTCTACCTGAAAAATCACATCAAATTGATTTTAACTCCTTCTAGGTGCCATTTCCTTTTTCATAACATCATGCAAAGCTATCCACACCTCACATACCAAATTCCACAATGTTGGCTGGTGACTGGCAAGCATTAGTAAACCGGCACCAAGATTTCTCACAACACACTGTATTTTACCTAAGAAAATTTTGTATAAAAATATGACAATCCTTTTTCCACAAACACTTCAGTTTGAAACTAACTCTTACCAAATAAAAATGATACTTACCAATTTTCCTCTTGAACCAACAAACGCATTAGAAACTTCCAAATTCTGAAATAAAACAGAAAATTCTTAACAAGAACAACAGCACATCACAACATATTAGACATGCATATAACACACCCTCTCTGAACACTGGCAAAATGCACTACAATTCAAAAGAAACTTGCAGGTGTCAATGAGCATTCAATCCAAACATGCAGTTAGCAACCAGAATATGAGCACCTACATAAAACTGAAAAATAACAAAAACTGACTCAGCTTCCTCCTTTGTGATAAGGCAAGTTCTTTGGGAAACACCAGACTTCAAAATGAAGAGATAAATATTCAAGTACATACAAAGATTGAACCAGAAAAGATGTATACCTTACATTAATGTGTTAAAAGATAGTTTAAGGTTAAATGAAACAAGACAGAACCAACACATACCAGTATTTTCCTCAAAGCAAGTCAGGTTTCTGTTAGATATTAATTGAGATTGTTATATACCATACATTTTTAAGATGTAAGATAGATTAAGATACATTTCATTAGATTTGACAGATTTTTATATTGTAAAATGACAACACAGACAAATTATGACTTAACTGTGAAATGTTGCCCCACCTGCATAGTACAAACAATTCTATACAACCACTGGCAAGTGTATAGGATAGGCAAGCTCTTATCTTGCACTCATACACAACTATGAATGCCAGAAGATATTACAAGTTAATGTACAAGAGATACTCACAGAGATTACTCACATATGGTGCCAGAGATGTGCTTTAGTTGCATACATGTAACTTACATAATCAAAACAAATTTAGCATGTTATCTACTAGGTACAGGTATCACCATGCTACACACAATGCAAATATTTCTGACACGGGTTACTGTAGCTGGAGGATGTGACACAGAATGAAACCTAAACATTAGTATTATTGCAACATGCTCTGCAAACAGGATTGCTCTTAACGAGCAACAAAAGAAACTGGTACATTTATTTTTAAAAAGCACAAATATGGCACACCAACAATTTGAGGTGTACTTGCATACCTGATGCACTCCACCCTTGCACTCACATATCTAAATCTCTCAGACCTGTTATCTGAATGTACAATAATTTATTTACAATAATTATTGTGTGCGCCTTCAATATGCATAACACTTTAAAAAAACAAGCACAGCATCCAACAGCACATGCCCATGAGCCAATCAAAAGAGAATTCTGTCAATAGCAGCTAGCAGATGTTACACTGGAAGATGAACACCACATAACTGCTTATTTTCAAGCACAAAACAGGCAATGCAATTTCATTCGCACCTTTCCACCAGATCCTGGGTCGGTAATTGGACTGTCAGATATAACCGTTGGCGATGACTTTGTAGCCAAAACAATTCCCCCATACGGTTCACCCATATTCTGCCTTCAATAATCCTTGTTTCACAACATGCTATTAATTAATGAACTGTTCAAAAGCATTCCATTGGGACGCCCAGCATCTCTACTAATGATGCAGCGCGTGGCACGAGAGGTATGAGAGTAGCATTCCTTTGAACGAGTAAAAGTCTGAAGTGTGTGTGTGTGATGCGCGACACTGTTCCAGAAGTACCGTCAATAAAATGCAACATTAAAATAATGGAAATAATTTTATACGTAACAATAAAGCAAAAAACAATTACTCATAAGCACAAATTTTGAAACGAGTCAAGAATTTATCATTTTTGTCAAGAGAAATTAGATATTCACGGAGTATTTATTATTAAAATAAAAACCTATGCATATTGATATATACGCTTTTGCATGGGACGTTTGTTGCCACTTATTTGAATTCATTAACTATATGAATAAAAACTGGTACAAACCAGCTTTTATGTTATATCCATGGTGGATTTTCACCATTGTCATATCAATGTGTTTTTTTCTCGCCATCGTATACTGTTCAATTTATAACAGAATTAGCTTCAAATACCACCAGATAATTGTAAGGGGAACGCATTTTATGTAAAACAAAAAAGAATGTCAATAAAATGTAAAGAACTGTCAAAAAAAAATTATTGGAATATTAAAAGTGTAGTGCACTTGGTCTGTGAAATAATTTGCGGTAGAAAATGTACAATGTCTCCTTCAGGATAACAGCTCCGTCAAAGTGAAATGATAATGATAGACCGTCATTTTCACTATATTCAGCAGCGTCTCCTGAACTAACGTTCTGGGTAGGCAAAACATATTGCAGAATGGTAGCAGATACTTGGGGTAATCGGAGCCATGCCTTTCCTTGGTTTCAATTTTACACTCTTCACTACATACTTCCGTTGTGAAGAGTATTTTAATACCAGAGCGGAAATGGCGATTTTTTCGTCAGAAAAGTTCGTATCGTGAGGCCCTGAAACCGAAAAAGTGTATAAATTACTTCCTCTAAACCATTTGTCGGCAACCATTTCGTAACTGCGGGCCACATTATCAAACCTGCAATAGGTCGCGGGCCGCAAATCTCTCCAACTTACATTTCATCCAACAAATTTGAAATATAAAGTCACAATTCATAATTTTATTAGTACTATGTCAAAATGAACTTGGGATCCAGGTATAATAATATGGCAAAGAAACACTTTAAGGGTTCTATAACACAATTTTATTTACGAAGACTATAAACACGAATGCATTAGACAAACACAAATTCGAATACACGACCAATTCAGGAAAGGCCAACAGTGCGATGTTTTGGCTTGTACGGCTTGTGTCTTGGACGCCAGTGGTCACAATATCGATTTTGGAGTTGGTTGTGCACGTTCATAAAAGTTCATGTAAATGTTTATCTGTAAGTTTCGATCGCGATTCGAGTATATCTTTTTCATATGGGAAAACGTTTTCTTTCATATGGTAGTGCTTCTAAAGACAATTACCATGCCAGCTGCAAATGCAGCTGCTGCAGCAGCTGCAGCAGCTGCAGCAGTTTGCAGCAGTTTGCAGCTGCAGCAGCTGCAAACCGACCCGCGATAATGCTTTACTGGACGTTTTCTTTATTAGACCGTCAGACCAATTTCTTGCCTGCGAGGTAATTCCTGGAACTAGCGATCACAAAGGAGTCCTAAAAAGGTGCAGAGAGGGTAAACGAAATGATTTTGTAAAAGAAAGAGAATTTTTTCAGTTTTCTCGAACAAACGTCACAAACATGCAATTATACTTGAAAAGCAATTTTCCGGCTTGGGCTTCTAGTGGATGTACAGTAGAACAGATCTGGTCAAATTTTAAGAACATTATTTCTGAATGCTTAGGAAATTTCGTGCCTACCAGGAAACTACGGTGCCATTCGTATCCTGCGTACTATAACAAAGAAGTGAGGCGACTTAAGAAAGCGTATAGTAAACGTAACATAAATAAGGATCAGAAAAATAATTTTCTACAATTATCTAAAGACTTATTAGCATTAAAGTTATATACCCAAGAAAATTACCTAAAATCAATTCCAAGCGACCGATTGACCTGTTGGCAAAATTTCTTCAAGTATGTGACACATATGAAAGGGAACAAAGAAAGTATTCCAGCGATCTGCGGAGCAGATGGTTCGTTAATTACAGATGACCGTGAAAAGGCGGCTTGTTTAAACAGACATTATTCATCTGTTTTCAAGCCGAAGGATAAAACCTAGTAAGTAAACAACACGCCGTTATAGAAACCTTTTCGAAGCTCGAATGCGAGAATAATAGAAAACGATTGCAAAAATTAGGAAGAAAAGTCATCAGAGTCCTGACTGGAATTCCAGGAGAAATACAAAACTGGGTAGGGGAAGCCATGATCCTATACCTTTGCGCGCGTTAATGGAGGTCTTACAAATAATAGCATGATTCCTCAAAAATTGTAACGTAGTGCGGCGATCTCAACAGGGAGGAGACAAATGTATTGTTAACAATCACAGGCTATAAGTTTGACATTCAGTCGTATGCAAACAGATGGAACACATAATCGCGAAAGTATATTAGACGAGTTTGGAATAAAACTGATTGGCTTGTATTTCCAAATATCAACACGGTTTTCTTTGTATGTTATCTCTCGTCCCGAGAGGTTTGTATTTTTTTCGCGGTGCAGACAGCCGACAATTGCTTTTTGTCGAAGGACATAGCAGAGTTCATTGACGAAGGGCAGATAAAAGGGGATCGACGCAATAATATTAGATTTTCTAACGCATTTGATCTTGTTTCCACCATTAATGTTTATTGCCAAAATTGTCCAGAAACGGGAATAGATCATCGAAATAATCCTGTAGATAAAAAGAAGTTCCTTACCGACGCAACCTCAAACAATCCAGATAGGAACAAATATTCATCAACAAGCCCATCGTAACTTCGGGGATCCCTCAGGGAGTGTCTTAGGGCCTTTGCCTGTACTTAGCGTCATTAGATGGAATCGCAACTCAGATTAAAATCAGAAAGTTAGAACTATTACGCCGGACGATTGCAATAATATATAGATAATGGCTCGCTCTCTGAGGATCGAAAATGTTCTTACAGAGGATCTTACTGTTTATGGAACTTTTGAACTCGGGCGTAGCAGAATATAGATGAATTAAATCCGAGAAAGAGATAAATTCATTTGCCTTTACCAGTTCCTCGCTCGGAAGTCACGCTCCCAGTAATATTAGGAACTAACTTGTTATAACCCGTGTAACCGAAACTGTAAGTATTTTGGGTATTCGGTCTCTGCGAAGAGCGACTTCTAGGTTTGAGTCGGTCATCATTATTTCAACAATACGGTTAAACACATCCCTGGGAGAGCCCGCTCATCTTTGTAATGCTGTTATTCTAAAAAATGTATGGTCCAAATGATCCCTAGCATAATACTAACAACTTGTTTCGTCCAATTTTAGAATACGGAGCGCATGCTGGGACCCTTACAGAAAAGGGCAAATCGAAGCGTTAGATAATAATTTAAAAACGGGGCCTCAAAGTTTGTAAATCACGGTGCGTTGGTGACGAAACGTGAAGAATGGGAGTCTTTATCTAAGCAGAAGGGAACGGGCGCGTTTATGCGTAATGTAAAGATCATCCAGAGGGGACACCAGTATGGGCAGATTCGTAACAAGATTAGAAAATCAGATTATAAAGCAGAGGAGCATCTTGGAAATAAGATGTAGAAGCAAAAGACTGTGTAGGCAAGTTCTCCTTTTGTGAATCGCACAAAGTAGATTGGAATAAACTAACTCAAGAAAGCACTAGAGGCTCTTCCTTTAAATGTAGCCAAATTTAAAAAACTATGCTTCATTCCAATCAAGATCATTCGAATAACATCTTACTGAGACATTTAATCTTTATTATTATTATTATTATATTATTATTATTTATTATTATTTATTATTATTATTATTATTATTATTATTATTATTATTATTATTATTATTATTATTAGTAATATTATTATTCCTTTTATTATTATTATTGATATAATTATTATCGTCATGGCCCTTATACAGTGAAGTGATGTGAAGTGTAGTGTATTGGAGGGGAAGGGAGTGCAGTGTAGTGTAGTGTAGTGTTGTGTAGTGAAGTGTTATGTAAACTAGAAGTGAATTTAGAGTTAGCTAGAAATAAATTGGATCTATTGTATCGATCCCTAATTCTAATAGTAAACCCAATTGTAAATGTTGATAATGTTTAGTAATTCTAATTCTAATTGTTATCATGTTTGCCACCGAGCATTAGCTCAAAGCGAACTTTAATAAATCTATCTAAATGTTCGGGAAAGAATTCAGGAAGACTGGCGTAAAACACGATTATAACATTATTCTTCAATGTGTCATTCAATGCACCATTCGTTAGTAGCTCAATTACCTGCCTTTAGAAACTATCTGCAACTTTCATTAAAACTACTTTAAAAGGAATTTGAAAAATCATATTTCATTTACACAATCATGAATTTAGACAATTCGCCTTTAATCTCGCGTTCAATAAGTTTTATTGCTAAGTCACATTTTCCAATAGGAAAAAAATGGACTTCATCTTTCAATTCCACGAATATATTCTTAAACAAAAAACAAAACTAAACAAAAAACAAAAAGGTGAGCAGAGATCGGAGTAATATGAAAAATTAGTAAAATTCAAAAAATCAATGATTGTTCATTTTTCAGTAGGCCAATGCATTTGAGGCTCTTCGGGCCGAATGAGATGGCTTCGCGGGCCACGGGTTGCCGAGCCCTGCTTTAACATGACATGAAGGAAGTCAGAATCAACGTTTAGTGGATACTTGATTTTAAAAAAATCATAGCATAATGTCTGTTTGTCAGTCTGTGATCAACGCCTATACTGTTTAGACGATTTTCTAAAAAATTGAAATTCCTCGATTGATCTCGCCGAACTCGAGGCCTTGAGAATTTGAAACGTATACTTTGTTGTTGTTGTTTTGATACTTTACATTAAGCCTTAACAAAATTCTCAAAATTTTATAAAAACATTGCTCCACATTTTTGGATTCCCCCTCGGAGTACAACTTTTTCGAAAATACGGTAGGCTTTCTCCTAATTTTGCGTGAAATATAGGCAATTTTTAATTTTTTTAAACATTTTTTCTCGAATTGCGTTAGGAACTATAAAAATGTATCGCATCTCAATTGCATTAAAATATTGGATTTAAAAAAAATTGTATAGTTTATTTTTCTCGGAGTCTTTCTAGAAGTACAATATTCTTTATAGAGATGTTTTCCTGACTTGTTCAAAGAGAGATCTTGAAATCAGGTCGTGTCCAATTTTTCGAAAATATGGGTAATTTTTGCGTATTTGTCTCTGAAATATAGGCAGCTTTTAAAAAAACCATTGTCACAATAACGACTCTATAGTTGTTGTTTTTTTCGAATAGAACAAAGTTCGCTTATGAAAATGCCCGCGTTCCTTTTTGGGGAAACCTCTGTATTTTCGAAAACTGCAAAATATTTACATTACATATCTACAATTGTGGGCAGAGATAATTTACCATAAAGAAAACTGTTACGGGTAGTTTCTGCGTAATTTTTGCTTGAAGTATAGACAATTTATAATATTTTCTTAAACACTAATTCAATTCTTTTTCACAGAAGTAACAAAATTAGCTAAAAAATGGGGCTAATCCTATTTTCAGCTGACTATTTAGTTTCGAAAAGTGCACTAAAATTACATGGAAAAGTACAATATTATTGATATAATTTTTTCCTTAACCTTCCAGCAGGCGCGCGAGCGTAAATTTTACAATAGCAGATTTTTTGGATTTGCTGTCAAATCATTGTTGACAAAGACTTCTACACTCTTGGTATTCCTTGCAGATATCTTTAGTAATACATTCCTACAGACACCGTTTAGTTAGCACGCTATATTAGATTTTTGTAACGCTCTATTTGGAATAAGTGTGTAGTGACGCAAACTTAACGCTGCACGCTTGCTGTTGTTCTAAAATTGTATTATAATTTCGCCTAATCGAAATTTTGTGTAAAATGTCCAGAGAAAGGTTTTAATGTGAATGAAGTTCTACAAGCATTCAGAAATATTCTACAAGAGCTGTCTGATCAGGAGGAAGACAAGAATAGGATGGTGTTAGTAACCTGAGTATTGAAAGCAGACATCAGCAGGATACTGGATCAGAACGAGAGCTCTCTGATACTAAATACGGATGTTTATCAACGAATACCTTTTTTTGGTAGTAAATACTAATGCTCAGAATAACGTGACAGAATGTAAAAAAGCCCACGTAAAACAGAGGACTTGTTTTGGGGCTGGAGGTTTCGCAATTGTAAGAAATACGAGCGTGAAGTTTCGCGATTGTTTACGTAGTAATCATAGACTGATGCTCACGAATTTTTAAATGACACTTTTTATTATTTAAGTTACTAACAATACTAGTGTCTGCTATACACCTGTATAGCAGGGATAAAAGTTTTGGGGGTGGGTCCGCACTCATTTCATTGCACTTCTGAGAGTACTACCCCGACTGAGTCGAGGAACAGATATTGCAAACAAAGCGTTCGAAAATGATGGCATTGTCAGACACTAAGGTAACATTCTTATATATTATAATGCGACATAAAATTGCATTGTTCTACAATTTTCTTGTTTTATTCAAGAATCATTGAAAAACGTAATATTTACGACACGCGCCTACTGGAGAGAAAATTTTACACGCACCCAAGGTAAGGTTAATGAAATCTGCTCTTCAAATATTCGCTTTTTAAGCAAGGTCCAACTACAATATTTTTGAAAATACTAGTAGTTTTTGCATAATTTCTGCTTGGATTTATTTCAATTTATAAAAAAAATATTCTCGAAAACGAGTACATAATTTATTTAAAGTTTCCTTGGAATACAGAAAACGACACTTAAAAAATGACTCACATTCAGTGATCTCTCTGAGTTTTCGAAAAATTAGAAAGTTAGAAATTGTGGAGAAAGTATGTGCTTTTGTAGCTCTCTTTAATTACACTTCCGAGGTGGATCCGACCCGCGTGCAATGGTGTGAGTACAGTGGCTTCAGTTTTCAAGGCACGAGTTAGTGGGTTCAAACCCGCCTACGGCCAATGAACTTTTGAAGTGTGGAAAATACTCAATGAGCCTTGACACGTGCGTATAACATTAAATCTTTCGACAATTTGCGTTCTACACAGATTCCATACTTCAACAACCAGGGAACGACGCAAGTAAATGAATAAATAAGACAGACTGTATGTACTGGCTTCTGCCGGGAACCAGGAAGTCAAAATAATAATAGGCTAGTAAGATAGAGTTGAGCGCCCATGTTGCGAATATTTGAAAATGTTCAAAAATACTATAGAGCGAACCAACGGGCAAGTTTCCAGAGCATTGGGAATTGTATTAGAGAGCATCATCAATAACAATTGCGGAGATGATGCAGAATGTATTCGAAATTTTGAATCCACAATTTCAAGTTACTGATGGATTTAAGTGGTTGCAAAAACTTGACTTCTGGAATTTTTTTAACAGGAAACCCTACAAACTTGCCAAATAGTATAATAATGAAATTTTCAGTTTCAGATCGTTCGGATAATAAGACCTGCCTCAGCACCCTAGAATTTAACCAGACATGAGGTGGCTGAGGGCATCAATTGATATTACTCAGTGCTTCTGACCGGGAGGCCCTAAGGTTTGAGTCTCGACTGTGGCAGGATTTTCGACACCCACTAGGTCGTATTCAGCCGCAATCTGGAGACTTGACCGGCTCAGGTGGCTGAGGGCATCAACTGATGTCACTGCAGATTTTCTAAACCAGCTCTATAGCTTGGACAAATTAAACTGTCTGGAGAAGAATCCTAGTGGATGGCTGCTTTGATCGCGTTTTCCGTGGTTTGCCCGATTAACACCCACACCCCTATTAACACACACAATTACATGTAATACACTACCACACCTGTTGAGTGACCAGTCAGGAGCTTAGAGCTTGTGCCGACTAGGGCGGTGCCCGGTTGGTGGGAGAGACCTGGATAGGGAAGCCCTGCAAGCTGACGTGTTGGTCGGTGCCCGATCTCACATCCACCAGTCAAAGAACACTCCTCCTCTCGTGATAAAATATTGTACTACACTCTGGATGTGTCCAATCCCAGATCTTCGTTAGACACCTACAGCTTCCCATACGCTGGAGATGTTCATACCAATTCAATCTTTTTGTTCTAATTGAATCCAAGGTGCTGCTCTCTACATTCATCATCGGTCTTATTGTTTCATTTGTACTACGATGCAACCTGGACACCCGGCAGCACCTTCATCCGGAAGCCCATTTCAAGGGTAATCAACCCACATTTATCCCTTTTGTTCAAAGGAGATAGACGGGAGAAGACGGGAAAACATCGCGGAAGGCGACGCAAGAGGGCAGCGAGAAGTCACCGGCGACCCGGGGCTCGCGATCGGCTGCGCAGACGCCGAGGCGCTTTAAGGTCGAGCGCTGGAGCACGGAGGACGCAGCTGCGGGAGGTAACGGCGCGCAAGCGCCGAAAATTAGGTCAAAGTCACGGCGACCAGGGAGAACTTCTTAACCAGGAAATAAGCATACAGGAGTCATCTGAGTGTCATTCAGAGATTCTTGCCATTTTAAAAGCACTATTGCCTACGAAACTGTAAATACATCAATACTAATTTATGTTGTTCGCAGCCCCAGCGAAATTGTTGTAGAGAGTGTGGGGCATCTGCAGACTTTTTTGTAGTAAAGTTAATTGAATGGAGAGTTAAATTGAATGTTATGTCATTGGCTAATGTAAATAGTATTTGTAGCAAATTTAATAAGAAAGAGTAACAAAGGGAATTTCCTTTGATTATTTGTGCGAATAGTACAAAAATTAATTCTCGCTTTATTGAAAATATTTCAATTTTTGGTTCTATTGAGATTCATTTTGATGTTGGTATGATATTGCAAGCAACGAAAGGGGTTTTAAGATTATTAAACCCTGTTTAATTGATTTATGCGTTCTTGTTTTGGATATGCTATCAACGCCCGAAAAGATCTCACTGCCTTCCCCATCCTTATACCTTGAGGTATAACAAGCTCGCAAGAGCACGATATCTGCGAGGTTCCTGTACAGGCGATTTTGTTTGTCACTAACTGGGGGGGGGGGGATTGGTCAGAATATAACTCGCATCATCTTCGTCTCCAGTTGTGACCACTTGATCATCGACAAACAGCAGATAATACAGTACATCATTTTCTATTGGCAATCCCATTTCGCCACACTTCCTTTTCCAATTTTTAAGCTCTTCTTCAAGATCATTTTAAATAAGAGAGTGGCTAATGAGCAGCCTTGTCTTAACCCTTTGTTCACTTGTTCCGGGGAGAGTCGTTTATCTATTATGACAGAGCTGTTATCACAATTTAATGCATAGCACTGATGTAGGCTGGTTCGATACCATTTTCTTCCATGCTTGGCCATAGCAATGGCGCTGTATCGTATGCCTTTTGCAAGTCAACAAATATGAGATGGGCATTCCTTCCTCATTCGACTTGTTTTCTACCAGATTGTTTTTGGTGTGAAAATACCATCAATACATGACCTTCTTACCCTGAATTCATTCAGTTACTAGAATGAATGTGAACAGATAGGATTTAAATAAAAACGCATGCTATCGATGTACAAATTAAATATTCGCCTACATACAAGCATGATTATCCAGGACTGAAGAAAGTCGACAGGATTTCAAAAAATATGTCTCAAGCCTCTTCAGTTTTTTCTTTTTATGAGATTTCTTTCTCTTTCTTTTTATAGATTTCTTTCTCTTTTTAAGTACTTATTAATTGCGCTGTCTCCAGGCGCATCCATGCCCTATTCTTTTGTTTGAGGCACAATGCAATTGCACGAAATGCCACAGCGGCCGATGATCACTCGCTTGGCGCCTAGAAAGTGACCTCACTCCGCCACACTGTTTCCTGTTGCGTCGACCACACTCTAATACGTGAAAGCACCGCTAGTCAAGAGTTAGAAAGATATACGAGCTGACTGACGCCCCAGGAGAACAGTCGACATTTTCCAAATAGAGTAAGGCGTAAGGTAGAGTAAGGCGTAAGGCGGAGACTTTAATCTTCCGCACGCTAACTGGGAAGGCAAGGAGGAGGCCACGGGAGGGGGGCAGATGTGTATAAATAGGACTGCAAGGGAGGGAGACTTCCGAACGGTGGAGCTCTTCAGGACCGCGTGAAGCGCTCTTGACATTTTTCCTCGTTCGATCCGGGCTGAGTCTCTAATCGGTGCAGCGTAGTGGAAGGGTTAGTGACCACGCGCGGTAATACTTTGAAGTAGAATGGCTACGAAGCCCACAGCGGCCTTAAGGGCCAGGGCGCATTTTCGCTCTGGAAAAAAACGATATCTGGCTGCAAAATTTTTTTTCGAAAAGCAAAATATTCATACCTGGGCTAGCACCGGC